GGTCGGTCAGTGGCACGGAGCCAGGCTGGATGAGAGCCGGGGGCTGGACCTGGGGCCAGAGCCCAGAGGGGTGACGGACGGTCCCTCGGGAACAGGGAGGGGACCGAGCGGGGCTGGGGCTGCTCTGGGGGGGAGATAACAGAAGGGGGGGTGGCGGGGGTGGGTGCAGGGCCTGGGTAGTGCGTCACCTACATCGATGGGGGAGGGGGAGCCGTGCCTCAGTTTCCCCATCTGGCAAAAGGGGCGGGGAGTTGCGCACGTCATGTGACCGGAAGTCCCTCCCGCTCGCTGTGATTGGCTGCGGCGCCGCATGGCGGAACCGGGTCCCCAGCGCGGCTGGTTCGTTTTCGGGTTCCGGGGCTTCGCGGAGCCTCGTGGCGGCGGGGCCCGGCGGGTGGAGCCGGAGCCGGGCGGGATCCGCGTGGTGCGGCCGGCGTGGAGCTACACGGGCCTGGTGACGGGTGAGACCCGCGGGGGGGGGGGGCCGGGCCCCCCCCCCCCCCCGGTCCCGCCCCCCCCCCGCTCCGTACCAACCCGGTCCCGCCCCCCCTCCTGCCCCGGTACTGCCCCAGCTCGCTACCAACTCCCTCGGCCCCAGCTCTGCCCCCGCTGGGTCCCGCCCCCCTGACCGCTCTCTCCACAGGGCGCGGCCGCCTGGCGCTGCGGGGGTGGCTGGCGGGGGCGCTGCCCGGGCACTGCCAGGACCTGCTCCCCTCCGAGAGCCACGTGCTGCTGCTGCGCGGGGCGACGCTGGAGGCCTGGGCGCGGGGCAAGGGGCTGTGCGCGGGGCCTGCCTGGCGGTGGCCGCTGCACCCAGGGGAGGCAGCCGGGCCCCTGCCCCTGGCCCCTGGCGGCTACGTGACCCCACGGCCGCCCTTCCTGTGCCCGCTGCCGCCGGCACTGCGGGCCCGGAAGCTGGTGCTGGGCCATGAGCATGCGGCGCTGCTGGGCCCCGCCGGGACCGTCTACACCTGGGGCTGCGGCAGGTGGGTGTGGAAGGAGACTTGGGGGGGCTGGTCCCTATGGGGAGGGGAGAGGACCCAGGGTCGGGGTGGTGGTGGCTGATCCCTATGGGGAGGGGAGAGGACCCAGGGTCGGGGGTGGTGGTCCCTAGCGGGAGGGGAGAGGGTCGGGGTGGTGGTGGCTGGTCCCTAGGGGGAGGGGAGAGGACCCAGGGTCGGGGTGGCTGGTCCCTATGGGGAGGGGAGAGGACCCAGGGTCGGGGTGGTGGTGGCTGGTCCCTATGCGGAGGGGCGGCAAGGAGAGGACATGGGGTCATGGTGGCTCATCCCCATGGGGAGCGGGTGGGGGTTGCTGTGGAGAAGGGGCAGCCATGGAGAGCAGAGACGAGCCTTGTCTCGTGTGTGTTCCCTGCAGACATGGGCAGCTGGGGCACGGGGGGCTGGAGCCTGTGTCGGAGCCCCGGCTCGTGGAGGCCTTGCACGGCGTGCCCATGGGGGACGTGGCAGCTGGAGGCTGGCATTCTGTCAGCGTCAGCGGTAAGGGTCATGGGGTGGAATGGCAGCTCCCTGGGCCTGTTCGTAGTGACGGGGTGGGGGCTTGGTCTGCGTGGCTAAAAGGGGGAGCGCTGGTGCCAAGGGGGAGTTGGTGCTATTTACAGCCCTGCTCCTGGGGAATGCCCGGCTGAGCCCAAGTGCAGCACCCCCTGCCCAGCCTGAACTAATGGAGTGGTGATGGTGGATTAGCTCCTAGGGGAGACTCTACAGCTATGCACCAAGTTTGGGGTGAGGGGGGAAGGGCTCGAGGGCCCCTACTAGCCCAGGAGCTGGCTGCTGGGCTGGGCAGCTCTGAATGCTCATCCCCAGCTATTGCTCCTCTCTCTCTCTCCCCCAGAGGGAGGTGATCTCTATGTCTGGGGCTGGAACGAATCCGGGCAGCTGGCATTGCCTTCCAAAGCACTGGCAGAAAAAAGGCCCCCAGCCGCAGCCTCTGTCTCCCAGCCTGAGGAACCCGGCTGTGGTGCAGGTGAGGAACCCTGCAATGCGACGCGGGTTTGGAGGCTGCCATTAGGCAACTGCCGGTAGCCCTGGCTGGTGGGCGGAGGGTTAGAGAGCTGCTGGTGGCCTGTCTTGGTTCTTATGGCAACTTGCCTTTCCCGGGGCTGTTCACAGGTGAGGCATTTGGGAACGTTTCAGCAAAGGGCCTTTGTTTAACCCCTGGAGGCCTCACACTTTTCAGAGGCGTAGCTCCAGCTCCAGTCTGCTGTGTGCGGGAAATCCCCTGGCAGCAGCCTGGTTGCACTTGCATCTTGGAGGGTCAGACCCTCCCCAGCCAAGAGGCCCATGTCATCCTTGCTCTCCAGCCACACCACCTGAGTTGGATTTTGAATCTGTTTTCCAGGCAAGGCAGAGCTGAAATTGGTCAGTCACGAGGCAGCACTGGGTGCTGAAGCAGTTGACTTCATTTCAATCCAGGCCTTCCCTGCTTTGCTGGATCTACCGGCGGGGTCAGAGGTCAGCAAGGTCAGCTGTGGCTCCCGCCACACTGCTGCTGTGACCCGTAAGTACAGGGACTTGGGTCTGGTCAGCGACAAGGGTAGTAGTGAAGTGTAGATTGCAGAGCTGTGATGGCTCTAAAGCCTTGTGCAGCCTTCAGCAATTCCCACCTGTTCTGGGGAAGGAGGCTGAGGTTGTCCAAGGGGCCTGGAGACTGGCTGCACTGAACAGGCCCAGGCCCAGGCTGGGGACTTGGCTGTAAGAGGGGGGGCCTGGGCTCGGGTCACCACTGATGTATGTTTATTAGCTTGCTTGGCTCAACTGAAAATGATGTTCCAGTGAGAAACCTCAGGAGGGAACATGCCCTGAATTAACACCCCTGCCTCGGGGGAGCTGTTTGAACTGACTACCCCAGCGCAGGGCTGCTGCTCTCAGCCCCATGGTCTGACTAAGGGCATAAAGCAGCGTGAGTAACATCCAGCACGTGCCAGGGTGAAGCGTACACAGAAGAATGTTCTGCTATGCCCCTAGTGTGGTTTGTTGGACAAGACTTTGCCCTGTGGCCCCCACAGCTGACTCTTGCTCTTTGCTTACAGGGACTGGGGAGCTCTACACCTGGGGCTGGGGTAAGTGAGGACAGTGCACTACTCTTTGGGCTTGTAAATGGAAATACTTCTACAGCAGAAAAAGGGCTAAAACCCAGTAGCGTCCTCTCTGCAGGAGAGAAGGCAGCACCCACCTACTGTTAGTGGCTGTGTTTTTGTCTGCAGGCAAATACGGACAGCTGGGCCACAATGAGACAGCCAGCTCTGACCAGCCAAGACAGGTTGGCTATTTCCCTGCAAACGGGCTCACGGTGGAGGATGTGGTCTGTGGCCCATGGAACACTTACATCTGTGCTGTGGAGAAGTGAGAACAGCTGAAAGGGTGGAGAAAGGCTTTGAGGCCATGGCCCAGGACAGCATCCAGCCCCACCTGCGGCACTGACATGTAGACACTCGGCCACACCTGGGCCTGGCGCTGGACACATGGCTGGGGCTGAAAGTGATTTCCTTCGCACTGTGCCCCAGCCCGAGAACTCCACTTAATCTTCTTTCCTGTGCTCAAAGCGTTCTGCAGTGTTTTCCTAGCCCCACTGCTGTTGCCTCCTCTAAACGCTGCTGGGGGGTTGTAACGGTGATAGGTCTCATGTAGGGTCTTGTAGGCAGACTAGCCTGAGCTAGCTGAAGTGAACTCAACACATGCACAGCTAGGAGACAGTACACTGTGGTGAAGAAGCTGCTGAATATATTTCCTCCAGAGTTGAACTGTACACTTAACAGGCACCATGAGTAACAAATTCATTCCACACTGTTCCCTCCCTACCAGCAAGGGGAGGCAAAGGTTAAAGGGGGCAGGGGAGGTTAAAATAGGCACTAGACAAAAGTGCTTGAGTAGCAAGATGCTTCCCCCATGCTGCAGTCAAACCGTACCATGCAGTTCCCCTGTAGTGCTAGCACAGAGCTGCCTAGGACCCCTCACCCCCTATGGAGAAGCGCTTGGTCCCATCTGTGTACAGAGAGCCCCAGCAGGCAAGGGCCAGCATGAGAATAAATAACCAAGCCAGGGGAGCTGTAGTGATAAGGTGCACATTGGTTCATGATCAGGGACGAGAACACTATTTACAGAGCATCACTCAGTGATGGGAACAGAGGTTCAAACAGGCATAGGCCCAGCTCCAGCCTGCTCAGAGCAGCGGAAAGGTGCCGCTTGCTAAGGGAACAGGCCTAGACCTGCTTCCTAGCCGGGTACAGACTAACCCCTGCTCTAGGGGGCAGGGGCTGGCTGAGGGGATTACTGCCTCTGCCAAGGGTTAGTCTGACACATGGCCTGGGGAAGCTGGGCTGCTGCTCAATTCATGACCCCATGAGCCCTTGTGTCAGTAATCCACCCTTTGAGCAACATAGATGGGTGTAGCTAATACCCCCTCTAGCCAGCGGTGTCAACAGGCCTGCTCCCCTTGCCTCTCCCAGAGGTGGAGTGCCCCTGCTGTCCCAGCAGCACAGGTACAAAGCACTACACCTGGGGGTTTCTACCGTTACAGGGCTGCGAAGTTGAGTCTAGCAGGCAGGAGGTGGAATCAGCCAAGTCTCTCCCCAGCTCAGCTGCCTTCGTCTTTAGAAGGGCAGGTTGTGCTGGGAAAGTGCCAGGCTGCCTGGCCCTAAGTCAGTGCTGATGAAGGGATCCTGGGAGGGAATGCTTGGCCCCCAGGCCTGGCTGGAACAGGCATTCCAGCTGGGGGAGGATGAGTCAAGCACCCTAGCCCCTTTCTATGGAGCACTGCCAAGACCTTCTCCCTTTATGCCCACGCCTTGGCCCAGCAGGACTGTTGCACGCTAAGGGCAGGACAAGGTACTGGCTTCACCCCACACAGCACATTGGCAGCAGGCTAAGAAGCTAGTGCTGTTCTGGAGCCCTAGGCTGACTGCGCTTCAGGAAGGGTGGGCACCAGGCAGCCCCCAGCCCCTCTGCTGGGAAATGCTCGGGGAAGGGGTAAGTATGCAGGAGAACCGATACGGAGTAAGATGCTTTGGGCTCTAGCACCTCAGAGAGCAGCCGAGCCTGAGAGCCAAAGAACTAACCCATCACAGCCCAGGCAGGCAAAGCAGAGGCTGAGAGGCAGCTGAGGGGCAGGGGTAGAAGTTGCCCTGGGAGGCTCTGGCTGCCCCACTCCAGGGCTCCATGGGCCATGCAGTAGTGTATGAAGAGCAGGGAGCCCTGGGCAGGAGCAGCCCAGCTCTTTTTAAAACATTGCATCTAACGTAAAACCTGAAAGTCACTGTAGTAAAAACCATTTAAAAAAAGAGTCTCCCTCCCCCCACTGCTTGCTCCTGCCTCTCGCCGTGGGGATGGCTGCCCGCAGGCCATGGGCCCTGCTGTGGGCACACAGGAACACGGCAGCATGCAGGGCCCAGCTAAAAATCCAACGTGGGACACTTGCCGTTTTCCTCTCCAGCCGAAGGGACGCACACTCCAGTCATGCTGTGCCAGAGCAGCGACCCAGCACATCTAAACAGCTGGAACCCTCTGGCTGTGGCCTCCTCAGCAGTGGATGTGGGTGGTTGTGGAGTTCAGGATCCGGGAGCTGGTGTCAGATTTGGAAGCCTTTGAAAGTTCGCGCTGTTAAAGGGGGGGAAAAAGAATGCAAATGAAGTGCCAGCTGAGGGGAGGGCAACACAGTGAGAGGCTGCAGAGCCGGGCTGAGTTGCTCTCCAGCAGCCTGGCCAAGGTGGCTGCCTCGGCAGCATGTGCTACCACCACCCGCGGTCACTGGAGGGGCAGGAGAAGGCAGCGTACAGTCAAGCAGCCAGGAGGCATTTGGGGCCAGTAGCCCTGAACAGGCCGAGCTAGAGCAGTGCCGGCAGGGGCAGGCAGGGGCCACAAGAACAAACCATCTCCTGCTGATCCTGGGACTTCCTACGTGGATAACAGCTGCCCCTGGCCCCCAGCAAGCAGCACCGGTCCCTGCGGGGCAGGCAGCACTCCAGTTTGCTGAGAACTTGGGCTCCGTTGGAGCATCTGGAAAGCAAGCTGGTTTGTAAGACAGACCAAGGGGAGGCAGGGAGGAGTTGGTGTCAGGCACATGGGACTATCACAATTCTGCCAGAGGGAACCCTGCTTCCTTTTGGTCCAACCACAAGTTACTGGTCCCAGTGACCACAGATGCCTCGAGCCCTGTGTCCCAGACCCTCTGGGGAAGCCACAACATTAGGGGCAGGAGCCGTTCTGGAGACTGGCCATGAATGCAGCCTTTGGGCCGGAGTGCTCAGCAAGCAAGCTGGACACATGGAACGCTGCTCCATGGCGGCGGCCCTGGCTTTTGCTGCCCTGAGTTGGGGGATTGCTGCTGATCAGACCAGGCCAGGCCAGAGGGCAGGGGGAGCTTGTTGTTGCAGCAGGGAGGATTCCCGGCCCAGCGGGAGGAGAGCTGCGATGGGCCTTCTCGCGGCAGCAAACCCAGCAGGCCCCTCCAGCAGAGAGCCCAGCAGCTGAGGGGGGCAGGGGGGTTTGCAGCTCCGCTTACCCTGCCTGGCCAAGAACCTTCACCCCCCTAGGCCTCTGTTGGGGAGCTTAGGTGGGGTTATTAATTCAGAGCTCCACCAGCCATGGGACACTGGGGCCCCTGGGGTCAGCATAACTCCCTGCCTCAGGGCTTGCTGTGAGTGGGGCCAGGGTCAGACGGGCCAGCACAAAGTGACATAGGGAACACCTGGCCCATGGCAGGAGGCAAGCGCTCTCTCCTGCCCTGTGCCAGCCAGCAGAGTCAGTGCCACCAGCTGGCTTTGGCCGGAGAGCTGACGGATCCCAGGCAGGAGCGCTGAGCTGCCGTGTGCTTTGGGACCAGGGTAAGGAAGGCTCGGCCCATCTAACGCACTTCAGAGAGGCCAGGCAGAGAAGGAACAAGGATGCAGCAGGCTCTCCCTAGACCCCCGAGCTGAGCAGAGTGTGCTCCTCGACAGGAGCATCGGCACACCACCACCAACTCCAGCTGCAGAGGAGCAGTGCTTCTGCCATGGCTGTGTTTTCTATGGAGCCTGCCTCCTGTTCTTACTCACGTCTCCCTTGGGTGCACTGAACAGCCAACTGCTGCTCTGGGTGCGGAGGACAGGTGAATGTTATGAAAGAGGTGGCAGCCCCAGGCCAGTGGCAGGCAGGCAGTAAGTGGACAGCCAGCTGAAGCCCAGCCCCCTGCCACTAGAGACACCACCCGAGCTGAACAGCGCTTTCGAAGCTACGGCCCTGCGCAGGAACTCAGGAGATCTGGCTACAAAGCCAGGCTCGGCTGCCAACTCTTGAGACACCTTGGATAAGCCAGTGACTGTGCCTCAGTTCCCCGTCTGTACCATGGGGCTAACACCTCTCCTCTGGGGCTGGCTACCAGGAAGCGGCGAGGCTCCCGCACACAGAGCCAGGCCAGGGAAGTTCTTCGTGAGAGATCAGAGAGTGCATTCATTGCCAGGTGCGTGGGTCCCTCAGCCAGAAACAGAGTGAGGCAGTATTGGAACCACACAGAATGGCAGGGCTAAAGTCACTGGAGTTCGGGCCACGCTGGCTCCCTAAGGCAGCTCTGGGTGACTGTCCCTAAGTCGCAGGAAAATGGGCTCTGAACACAGCAGAGGTGAGGTATGCTGTGCCTCCGGGAGCATATGAGGTGCGCAGGGATCCCCTCCCGACTGTGCTGCCCAGACTGGATTGTGTTTAGAAGAGGTGAATTACCGCAAACTCAGAATAGGTGCTGGCAACAGAGTTAATGCTGTAGTTACGCTGGGCAGGGGCTGTGGGGGTGCACCCACCGCTCAGGGTGGTTCCATTCAACTGGGACATGTTCTCCTTGTTCCGTTCTGCATGTGCCGTGCGAGGGGGCTTCATGGCCACGCGGCTGGGGGTCCGAGCAGGCGGGCCGAGCTAGAGAGACAGAAGCACTGATGGTTAGGACAGACATGAATAGGACGTGGCAAGTACAGTGGTGCTGGCTTGGTTTCCCTTCCTTACGTCACCAAACCCGAGGAATCCCGTGTCAGGGCTTGGAGCTCAGCTTTAACTTCTGCCTTGTCCAGCTTCAGCCAGTCCCGGGGGCAACCCTGCTGGGGCAGAGCCCATCATGCCTAGAGTCTGAGCTAAGGCAGCAGGGGCCAGAGACCAAACAATGCGGAGTGATGGAAAAGCGCCAGAAGTGCTGCAGACGTTTTCTGAAGGCCATTGGCTCTCACTGCCCAGAGCAGTGCCCTGCACACCCACATGCAGCAGGCCCGACACAAGCTTTACCCATCGCATTGGCAGCTTGCAGTTGACCACCGAATAAAGAAGCCCCTCCCCTAGCGGGAGCACCACGGAGCTTGGCGGGACTGCAGCTCGGTACGTACATTGAGGGGAGCGACAGCCACGGAGGCAGCCAGAACTGCACGTGGGAGAAGCTATTTTATACCTGCCTCCTCCACCCCATGCTCACACGCTCTCTGCCCAGTCAGTATCCCTCTCCTGGGGGCTGTGCCTACACGGGCTAGAAGAGCCGACTTCCCTGGGGCAGGGCACTGGAGCTAGGGGCAGCATGCGCTTACCTTGCCTCCAGAGGGTGGTGGGCGGGACACCGGGGAGTGGAAGAGCGTCCCCCCAAAGGCAGAACGGAATGTGCTGTTGGGAGTGGTACAGGAAGTTGCATTGAGCTGAAGGCAAAGTAGAAGAAGTTAGTGGTGGAGGCTCAGAGACCAGCCATGCAGGGAAGCCCTTGGAAAGGGGGCCCTTTGCTAGGTTCCCTTTAGTGGCTCCCCCCATGTGGTAACCAGGGTGGCAAGTCTCAGGTCAGCAACAGTCATTGGGAGAATCCCAGCGCACATGGCTGCTTTCCAGGGGAGGCTGCGGACAGAGCCGTCAGTGCTGGCGGGAGGGCTCCAGTCACTCCCCGGGGCAGGAGGGTGTGGACAGCTCTCTGGCCGCCATCAGCGAGGTCCTGCTCCCCGGCCCCTTTAGGAGCCGTGGTATCCCCAGGGCCTGACCCTGCCGTGGCTCTGGGGTGCTAACCACTGGCAGCTCAGGAAGCGCCGTTTCACTCCTCCCACCCGAAGATGCCCAAGAACTGGGCTCCTTTAAGGAACACCAAGCTTGGCCCGTCTCCCAGCAAAGCTTGCGCTGCCAGCCTGGCACAGCAGCACGTCTCATTTACCTTCCTCACTTTGCCAGGCGTGTTGGCGCCTAGGACCCGGCGCTTGCTGGGTGTCCTCGGGACGCTGCCATACAGCATCTCCTCCTCAATCTGACGACTCTTCTTCAGTTGCTACACAAGAGACAGGTAGAGCCGGGCCTGGGTGAGGGCCCATTGGAGAGGCGTGCGCCAGCCCCAGTGATTCACACAGTTACGTGCCCAGGGGCATCGAGAGCCAATTAAACCCCAGTCTGCGGCACAGCATAGGGCCAGCTAGTGGAAGGCACTGAGAAGAGCCCACGCAGCAGCGACTCACCCCTGCTTGCCGGAAGGCAGTGCCAGGATGGGAGGACAGACGCCAGGCACAGGTATGAATTAGTGTGGCCAAATCCCAGCTTAGCAGCATCCAGGAAGAAGGAGCACAGTACGTGCTGGCCGAGGCCTGCAGGATACGCTGATGCCATTAGCTTTGGCCACGTGCAGAAGAAGTGGCAAAGCTCTCTCCCCCCAGAAGAGCAGTGAGAGGTTTACCCATCTGTATCCCACAGCTCAACCTGGCTCAGGCAGCAGGAAAGGGCCTGTCCCAGTGGCAGTGGAGAATACACCTGGCCCCTTGCCAGTGGGACTTCACTCTGTTCGGCTCTGCACTCACCCGTTCCTGCTTCTCCTTCTCTTTCTCCAGCCGATGCAGCTGCCATTGCTCGCTCACGTATTCCATGAACCGCTGCCCATTCACCAAGAAGGCCTCCTCATGCTCCTGTTCCCAGGCCTCAACCCGAACTTTCAGCTCCTCCTCCAGCTAGGCGGAGAGAGAGAGAGAGAGAGAGACAGAGAGACAGACAGACAGACAGACAGACAGTGAATACTGCAGCAGAGCAGGTCAGGCTGTCCCATGCAGCCTGGGATTTCCCAGAGCCTGTGACCTGCCTGGTCAGCACCCAGACCCCTCAGAGAGCCCTGCTTTATGCTGCCAACCAACCCACAGGGCTGGGAGCCTCAGCGACGGCATGCCAAGCCCACACGTCCCGTGTTCAGCTCCCACGTGCTGGCAGGCAGGCCACCACCCCAGAGCAGCACGTACTTTGGGGAGAGTCTTCTGCAGTTTCGCTCGCTGCTTTTCTTCCTTCAGGAGGTTGCCCCCTCGGTTAGCAAAGCGACTTGGGTCCGTTGCTTTTCTCTAATGCACAGAAGGCCAAGCAGACAGTTCACATCCCGACATGTCCACCTATGTCCCCGAGATGCCCTCCTGCCCTGCCTGCAGTACTGCACTCAATCTCTGTTTGCCAGGCCACCCTCCAGTGATATCCTCATATGCCCCCCACCCCCCAGGTCATACTACCGATCTCCCCAAATTTTGCCTTGTGGGCACCCTGGCCTTCCTCAGCCCCCAGCACTCCCCAGAGCTAGGGTCAGTTGGTATGCTCCCTGCAGGGACAGTACCTCCAGCTCCAGGAAAAGCCTCCAGTTTTCCTCCCATTTCTGAACAGCTTCAAAGAGCTCTTTGTGTGTCTCGTAGTAATGCTTCACATGCCCCACCTCAGCGTCGTGGAGCTGCAGCAGGGTCTCGGTGCAGTCCTCTGCGAAGGGATGGAGAGCAGAGTCACCAGGGCACAGACAGCAGGGATCCCAAAACTCAGAGCAATGGGGCAGCAGCAGGCCAGGCTGCTGAATGGGAAGCTCCACTGGAGAGCACCTTGCACACCTCCAGCTGGCCTGCACAGCTCCCTACGGGGCAGACAGAAAATCCAAGGCCCAGCCCCAGGCCCAACCTGGAAACCCCATACGCACCCTCGAAGTAAGGGGCAAAAGCTTGTCTCTGCTCAGTGCCGTAAAAGCATTTGTCCCAGTAAGCGGCCAGCTCTGCTCTGATTGCTTCAATCACAGTCTTCATGTTCTGCAGCTTCAGCTCCTCCAGACGGTCCACCTCGAACTGCAGCTAGAGACCAGAACAGAGCAGGCAAAGTCCTGGGTGTCAGGGCACAGCAGTACAGGGAGGAGGATTTACTGGGTGCTTCAGGGAGAACGAGCCTGGAGCGGCTGGGGATCGTTCCTGGCCCCACACAGCACAAGCCATCCTAGAACACAAGAGCCCCAGGCACTAGTGCCCATGGCCAGCGCTCAGAGGCAAGGCTCACATCCCTCCCTTTACACCAAGGAACACCCCCCTATGGCTCAGACCGGGCAAGGTTTCCTTACGGCTTTCCTGGTTTTGGCTCTGGATCCGGTCATGTATGTGGCAAAGGCTTCTCTCTCCTCCGCAGGCACCTGCAGCCTGTCCCAGAGCTCCACAATTCTGGAGCGCAGCTCACCGCAAACAGCTTCATTTAAAGCTCTCCGGGCCTCCAGCTAGAGCGGGGAAAGCACAGGGTCAGCATTCCGGCAGCTAGCAGGGTAGCTCACTTCTGTTCAAGGGGGACTCATCAGAAGTACCTGCTCACTGCAAAGGCAGGAGCCCCCCCACCTCTTCATCTGCCCCTATTACAAGCCCTCTTCACCAGTGCCACGACCCTTTTACTGGAGCCACAGCACTAAGAATCTCCCTGCAAACTACAGCATGGAAGACTTCAGACCACTGTGCTCCATACCTGCTGCAGCAGCTCTTTAAGAGCAGCAATGTTCTCCATAGATAGGCAGAAGGCGTCCTCATCCTCACACACCACATCCCGCTCGAAGCTGGTGTCAGGGACATGATCCAGCTCCTCCATGCACAGAATGATCTGCCGTTTGACCCTGACGAACTCCTCTCTCCTGCGCTCCTGGAGGCAGAAAGCAACAGCGCTAGAGGCCAGGAAGCATCCTGCCACACAGGTTTCTCGCGCGCTCTCTCACACACATACTTCCCCCCTGCACCACCACCACCCACAAAAGACCTTCTCAGCAGCCAGTGCTGCCAGGTGGCGTCTGAAGCAGTCGAGCTCCTCCAGGCTGGGCACGGAGTTGCTGTCAATGCTGTAGGGGGTCATGCAGAGAAGGTCACACAAGTCTTGGTCGCGTTCTTGCAGAGTTTTCAGCTCCTGCTTCCTCTCTCTCTTCTGCTTCAGCATCACTTCCAGGCGGGTGCGCAAGTCCTTTTCCAGCTGCAGGATGGTGCTCTCCTCCTCCTCCTGAGAGAGCACAAGACATCAGCACTGCTCTCTACAGCAGCTCTAGCCAAGGTGCATTGACTTGGTTAGTTTCAGGCTGACGGGGCGAGACACCCCAGCAGAACAGCCCTTCCACAGACAAAGTGGATCGGCTGTGAGAAGCCAGGTCTGCAGCATGAGCCTGTGCCACCCCCACTCAGCCTGCAAGACCCCATTGGTGGTCCAGAGCTCTGTGCTCCCTACGGTTCACTGATGAGCTCTCAGGAGACAGACTTTGGGAAAGAGCCAGTTTCTCCTGTGAGCTGGGGCCCTGCGTGAGGCACCGGGGTGAGGACAAAGCCAGTAGAAGACAGTGTAACTAGACTGGATGGACAGGAGGGAGTCTCAGGGCCAGGCCCCGGAACTCACTTCAAATGGATCCAGCTGGAGCTCCTTGCAGAGAGTGTCCAGTTCCTTGCGACACATAGCAATGCTTTTCAGGAGACGCTCCTTCAGGTTCTCCTCCTCAGCCACCATCATGTCCAGCAGACCCTGCAGCAGAGTGACAGTTAGTGTTGGCCAGTGAGGAGGAGCAGCAGAGGATGGGTGGGAGAGCCAGAGGAGTGAATACGCTAAGCCTGGTGTCAGGAGGTTTGGAGCAGAGCCCACTTTCAGGGGTGTAAGGCTTTGCCTCTGGGCATGCTGGGCAGAGAGCACAGTGCCCACCGCATGGACTGGAGTGAGAGGTTTTACACTGGGCACAGGAGATGCAGAAGGGCAATGCCAGGGCAGAGCTGCAGCAAGACCCCCCCGATCTCTATGCTCTGGTGAGACAAAGCGGGAAATAGTGGGTAGGGCTATATCTACAGTCTGGTAGGGAGGGCTGCCTCAGGGGCCGAGAGACAGGACTGTTAGTCTGCAGGGACCTGACAGGGACTTCAAGGCACCCAGGCCACCAAGATCAGAATGCGAGGGCGATAGAAGTTGTGCAACGGGGGTCTGGGCCTCTCCCCCAGAGCAGGACCAGAGAGGTGAACAGTTTGCAATGTGATGGAGCAGGTACACAGCCCTAGGGGAGACACTCTCTGTCCTGCTCTCCCACAGCCCAGAATGTATCATGCCTGCCTTCCACCAACGTGCCAACGCTGCGCCTCGCTCAGAGCCCCCTGTCCTGGGGAGCAGGTCCATTTTCCCACTGGGCACTTGGCCAACTCAGTAACCCAGGGGAGGAGTGTGAGAGTCACCGAGTGTCACCCCTGGACCTCAGAATGATCATCTGTGAAATGTGAATAGTACTTACAAGGCTTGAGAAACCCACTCGCCCCAGGGGAGAGTATCTGGAGCAGTCGAGTGGGCCTGGAAGCGGAGCAGCAGAAGCAAAGCAGAAAGGGGCAGTGGCTAACTCAAGAGAAGCAGGGAAGGAAGATTATCTGAGGGGGAAAGGAGAATAGAAGAGGAGAGGGGAGAACTCCATGCAAGGGGAAGCCAGGGCGAGAGGGAAGAGCAGCGCGGGAAGAAGTACAACCTATGGCAGGAGAGGAGGAAGAAGCAGAGTTCAGACAGAAGGTCCAAGAGCCAGGAAACAACAGAAAGCGGTTCAGGGTAACTCCAAGGAACAGGCTGTTGTGTGCCTCTTTTGCAGGGGGTGGGGGCTAGGGCTGTGCAGGAGTTTGGACCCTGCCCAGTAGGCCTAGTAGGCACAGGGTACATTTTTCAAGCTTGCACTTAACACCTTTGTGAAGGGTTTTCAGAGTTTTGGATGAAGACAATCATAGGGGCCACGGCATAGTTACAGGAGGACACGAGCCTTGGGCACATTAGAGAAGCCAGCTATCCCGGGAGCAATGGGCACCTTTGGATTGTATTGTATGGCCCTGGGATCCAGCATAAGAGAAGCCAGTGGAGATGGCTTTTGAGTGCTCTGGATCCTTCCTGGATGCTAGCCAGCTGTTTCCACTGCCACCCCCAACCAGGCCTCTGGATGGCACGGGTGCGTGTTTAGCACATGCATGATTAGAAATAGATGGCTAGCAGCAGGAGGAGGAGGAAAACTAGTCATCTATAGGGCAGGGAGGTAAGAGGGCTGGAATGGTTAAGTCCTATACACTGCTGAAGACAGAACTGGAAGGGACCCAAACAGATCTGCTGGCCATGCTAGGGCCTACATCCCGGATTGGACATGATTGGGCAGGGCTCCCTTGTATCATGCTGAGGAATACAGGGAGGCCGAAAGCCTGACACAATGACCTCTGGGCCACCCCAGTGGAGCAGAGCTGGCCAGCAGGAACGGTTTAGACCAGGGTAGGTTCTCACTAGTTGGCACAGTCAATACCCCTTCTAGACTGGCCAGTGCTGACCGCCTCTTTGCTAAGTAGCTGCAGTTAGCAGCACATACTGGGGAAGTCAACAGATTTTCTGCAACATCCATTGTATTTCTCCAGGCTCATGATTCTGAGGAGAGGCAGCGTAAGTCTAGCAGGGATAAAGCTCCCCTGAGCTGCCAGGAAAGGCCCTAAAGAGAAAGCACCAGTTTTGCCCTCCTTCCCCACCAGTTCTTCCCTGCCCAAGGCAGAGCAGCTGCTTCCCTGCAGGGCGCTGGGGGTCAGGAGTACACTCCGAGTTCATTCATCCCTTACAGTGTCTGGATACAGAGCAAAGGGCGCTAGAGGGAAAAGTACTCGCCTTGATGTGCTTCTTCACCACTTCTGTTCGTTGCAGTCGCTGCTCCTCAGGGATCCCAATCTCCTCCCAGATATCCCGAAGGTGACCCAGCGCTTTGTTCAGACATGCCACGGACTCTGCAGCCAGCACCTCGCTGAGGGAGGCAGGAGGGACAGTTGTAAAACACTTCCATCACAATCACTTCGCTTCAGTTCCACTGAAGAGAGGAGACTTAAACTAGATCTCGCATGAGATGGAATAGAGGGTTGAGTTTTAAAACATCTATTTGGACAAACTGGTTTGCATTCCTTTGGACAAGTTGTAAAGAGCTGCTCTATTGCTGATGCGGCTGGACTTTGGAAAGACCCACCCAACAAAACCTCAGGCTGTGAGGAAGCGGCGGGATCAAGCACTTACTGCGCCTCACGTTCTCGCCAATATTCTCAACACAAAGTACTAGGATATTATTCTTTAGTGTTGGGAAAGCACCCAGGAGCCCATTGTGCCAGGCACTGTACGAACACAGAACAAAGAGACACTCCCTGCCCCAAGGAGCGTTACGATGCCTAACGGATGAAGATGCTGTTATGACATGCACATAGAACAATCATCCATTGGTCATTGCCAGCCGTAATAAAATTTCAGGGCTGGAAGCGAACCACTCAGGTAGTTATGCATTTGCTGCCAAAGCATTGAAGAAATTCACATGACAGTTTGCTGAAGTGCTAAACCAGCTTTTGACAGCACTATCCTCTTCTGCAGGAGCAGAGAGAATACTGTCTTCATTTGTAGGAGTTTGTTCAAAGTTGAGAAACTGACTGAGAATTGAAAGTTTGTTTCCCCTCTTCAATGAATAAAAATGAGGTGAGAGGAGGAGATCTCTCAGTTCTAAGAACTTGAAGGACATGGTGTCCAGAAACAGTCAGTTCAATTCATTAACTACAGCGAATACCTCCTTTGGTCATAGAGTCCGAGTTTCTAGCCAGAAGCAACCATTAGATCATCTAATCTGACCTCCTGTGTAACGCAGGCCCTTACATTTCACCCAGTCCCCCTGACTGGGCCCAGTAACTTGGGTTTGGCAAATGCACGTTCCAGAAAGGCTCCAGTACGGACTGGAAGCCATCAAGAAAGAGAGAGAATCCACCGCTGGCACTGGGAGTCTGGTCCATCACCCTCCCTGTTGAACATTTGTATCTAATTTGAATTCAGCTTCCAGCCATGGGCTCTTCTTTGAGCCGTGTCCCTGTGGGTGTTCCACTAGGGGGACACATCTCAAAGAACCACAGTTACTGCACAGGGTGAGTAACCATTTCTTCTCATGCGTCTGACGAAGTGGGTATTCACCCACGAAAGCTTATGCTCCAATACGCCTGTTAGTCTATAAGGTGCCACAGGACTCTGTCGCTTTTTACAGATCCAGACTAACACGGCTATCCCTCTGATACATTTCTTCTCTTGTTCTGCTGGTCTCCTCGAGGTGAAAGACCTCTTTAGTACTCAGTATTTTCTCCCAGGGAAGGTACTTATACTCAGTAATCAAGTCACCTCTCAGACTTTTTGATAGCGCTCAATATGTTTAGTTTAAGTCTCTCACTGAAGGGCATTTTCTCCAGCCCTGAAATAATTTTTCTGGTTCTTTACACACCCTGTCCCATTTTTCAACACCTCTTTAAAAATGTGGAAGTGCATATAATATTCCAGTAGTGGTCTCACCAATGCTGTATACAGAGGTAAAAATCACCTCCTTATTCATACACCCAATGATCGCATTAACCCTTTTTGCACGGGTAGCTCATGTTGAGTTGCTCATCCAGTAGGATCCCAAATCCTTTTCGGAATTACTGCTCTCCAGGAGACAGGCCCCATTCTGTAGGTATGCCTGGCATTCCTTGTTCCTGGACGGGTAACTTTACATTTGGCTGTATTAACACACATTTTGTTTGCAGATTACTGTCTGGCTGCCCTGTTCTCATCATTAGTTACCACTCCGCCAATCTGTCTCATCTGCAAATTTTATTAGCAGTGATTTTATATTTAACTCCAGATCTGATGAAACTGCTGAATAGTATTGGGCTTAATACTTATCCACATGGAACTTATCCACATAGAAATTATTTCTGAATCCGGTTGTCTAGGAAGTCTTTGCTTGGACGCTGCGCAGCATTGAAATTTGTTCTCATATACCATGTTTTCTCTACCACTACAGCCACCACCAGAACTCTCTCTTTCTGGCAGAAAAAGAGAGCAGAGCACATCCAAGGCACATCATAGCAGTTTTGCATTCATTGTCCATATCTTCACTACCTAGTGTGGAGCCATACCTCTTCCCAACGCCCCTATTTGCCGCTCCTGTTCTGCTCAGGAGTGGGCCTGGAAACTGACAAATCCTGAACCTCCCTGCTCAGCTCCATCCCCTTGCTACCAACACTTAGACTTCAAAAACCAGGGCTGGTCATAGACCTAAGGGTCCCAGACACAAATAAAACTCACATGGCTTGCTTAGGGACCTAGAGGCCAGCCACAATACCCTCAAGGAGAACAAAATAGACCAAACACCATTCACCAAGTATCTTATCTTCAAGTACAGGATCTGCAGCTACACCCTCCGAAACACCCTTATTTATTAAATCAGTTTTAAATGCAAAACATATTTCAATAAACTTCTTATGTTCCCAGTACATTTAAGGTCATTTCTTTTAATTAACAAAAAGCTATTTTAAAATGCAGTTTTGTGCATTTTTAATTGAATTCCAGTTTTCATCCAAATGTCACAACAAATAAAATCCTCATCTCCTAAATGTCATTCACCATATTCTAACATATTAAAAACAAAGAATCTGAATAATTATTATATAATTGCCCAAGTATTTATAGACCTCTTAAAAACATGAGCATAAACATAAGAACAGCCAGATTGGATCAGATCAAAGGCCCATCGAGCCCAGTACCCTGTCTTCCAACAGTAGCCGATGCCAGGTGCTTCAAAGGGAATGAAAACAACAGGGAATTATCAAGTGATTCATTCACCCTCTATCCTCAGTTCCCAGAAGCTTAGGGAGCCCAGAGCATGTGGTCGCATCCCTGACCACCTTGGCTAATAGCCATTGATGGACCTTATTACACTCCAGGAACTTCTCTAATTGTTTTTGGAGCCCGCCTATACATTTGGCCTTCACAACATCCCCTGGCAAGGAGTTCCACAGGTTGACTTGCGTTGTGTGAAGAAATACTTCCTTGTGTTTGTTTTAAAGCTGCTGCCCGTTAATTTCCTTGGGTGACGCCTGGTTCTTGCGCTAGGGGGAGGAGTAACTAACCGGTCTGTATTCACATCCCCCCCCCAGCGCTGATTGCAGACCCCCTGTCAGGCCCCCCGCCGCCTCCCTGCCGAGCGGAACAGGCCCAGACGTATCCCCCTCTGCTGCAGGGCAGCGGCTCCACGCCCCTGCCGCGGCCTTTCCCACCGCCAGCGGCACCGCCAGGACACGCCCGGGCTGGGCCCGGTCCCTTCCCCCGGGACCCCCGGCCCGCGCCCAGCAGCCAGGCGAGCCCCGGGCCGCTCCGCTCCGCTCCGCTCCCTGGCGGGCCGGGCCGGGCCCTGCGCGCTGGGGCGAGACCCCGCTCCGAGCGCCGCGCCGAGCCAGGCCGGGCCGGGCCGCGCCGCCGGTAGCGCTGGGGGGAGACGGGCGCCCCTCCCCCCTCACCTGGCCCCTCACCTCTTCCTCATGGCGGCGGCGCCCCCCGGCCCCTCGCTCCGCACCGCTCCGCGCCGCCAGCCGCTCCCCGAGCCCGGGCGTCCCGATTCAAACTCCCCTCCCTAGCCTGCGCATTGGCTGCTGGCCTGCCTTACGTCACGGCAAGCCCCGCCTACAACCGCCGCTTCGGCCACGCCCTCGGCCCGGCCTGTGAAGATTTCCCTTTCGCCTTCAAACCGCGTCCCTCATCGCCGCTCGCCCCGCCCCGCCCCGCGGTTATGTCAACCAATAAGAAGTAAGCGCCCCAGGGCCGTCAGCCAATGAAGTGAGGCGAGACGCCTGCTGCACGCTGGGAGCCGTCAGCGCAACGTGATCACGTGGCCTTGCAATCCAGCCCCCGCGCGGAGTCCAGAACCGTTCCCAGGCTGCCCAGCCCCTCCCCCAGCAGCGCCCCTATTGCACCAACCTGAACACGCTGGCTCCGCCCCCTGCCCCGCCCCTTCTGAGCCCATCCCCCCTGTGGGCTCTGGGGTAGGGCTGGGGAGGACGGGTTTGGGGGGCAGGAGGGGGCTCCAGGCTGGGGCCAAGGGGTTGGGAACGTGGGAGGGGGCTCAGGGCTGGGGCCGGCGAAGGGCTTGGGCAGGGGTATGGGCTCTGGGGTAGGACTAAGGATGAGGGGTTTGGGGTGCAGGCAGGGGCTCCAGGCTGGGCCAGGAGCAGGCTCAGGGCTGGGGAAGGGGGTTGGGGTGTAGGCTCTGGGGAGGAAGGGTTAGGGATGCAGGAGGGGGCTCCAGGCTGGGGCTGAGGGGTTGGGAATGTGGGAGGGGGCTCAGGGCTGGGGAAGGGGTGTAGGCTCTGGGGAGGAAGGGTTGGGAATGTGGGAGGGGGCTCAGGGCTGGGGAAAGGGGTTGGGAATGTGGGAGGGGGCTCAGGGCTGGGGAAGGGGTGTAGGCTGTGGGGCCGAGGGGTTGGGAATGTGGGAGGGGGCTCAGGGCTGGGGCCGAGGGGTTGGGAATGTGGGAGGGGGCTCAGAGCTGGGGAAGGGGGTTGGGAGCAGACTCCAAGAGGGAATTTGGGTATGGGAGGGGGTTGGGGTACAGGAGCAGGCTCTGGGAGGGGGCTCAGGGTTGGGTTGGGGGGTCTGGGAAGGAGTTAGGGTACAGGAGGGAATTCCAACCTGGGTCAGGGGCTCTGACCAGGCAACCCTGATCTCAGGCAGCTCCCGGGCAGCAGGGCTAAGGCAGACACCCTGGCTCCGCACTGCTCTCGGAAGTGGCTGCCATTGGTTTCCGGCCAATGGGAGCTGCGGAGCCAGCGCTTGGGGTAGGGGCAGCTCCCTTGATCACCCCGGGCCTTAGGACTGCAGGGACATGCCAGACACTTCCAGGAGCTGCACAGAGCCTGCCTTAGCCCCAGTCCACCTCCAACCAGACTTTTAATGGCCTGGTCAACACCAGGGACCTTTTTCGACCGGGAGTACCGGTCGAAAACTGGATGCCTGGCAACCCTACTACATGGCCAGGGCTGCCCCCCACATTAGCACCAGCTCAACCCCTTGTCTGGCACCTGCCCCTAACCCCCCCTCCTGCCAGAAAGCCAGCACTCCCTGAGGGCCTGGAGCAGCAGGGCTGGGGAGCTCCCCTCAAGGCTAAATGCAGGTTTAACAGCCCTCCCTCCACTCCCCCACTCCAAGTTAGGTCTCACTCTAACTTCTCCCCTACTCACTGCGGCAGTAAGTCCACCCCCACGCTCCAGCTGGGAATCATAGGACGGGAAGGGAGCTGGAGTGGTCACCTAGTCCAGTCCCCTGCACTCATGGTAGGGCTAAGCATTATCTAGCCCATGCTGACTGGAACTGCAGAGAATTCCAGCTGGGGGACCTTCCACAACAGCTGCTTCAAAGGCTGCATGCAAGGGGATGCTGGGCAGTAAGCAGCCCCAGGGACAAGAACCACAGCCCATGAGAGAGCAGAGACGCTGGGACTAGCCTGATCCCACCTCCCTCCCCTGTGGTTAGATAAAGACAAGTGCTAAAGGCTGACCAAATATATTTGATATAGTACAGATCAATGTACCACTATTACACACTTCTGCCAGCGCAATCCTATGCTATTCAAATCCCAGCCCCAACTCCCCCCACACCCCTCTGTTGCTGCACTTGCAGCCTACCCTGCAGCACCCCTGCTGGTCCACTCCTTTCCCCCCGCCACTCGGTCCATCAATCCAGACGAGAGCTGGTTGTGTTTGGTGCCAAAACAGGTAGGCAGTTCTGTGAAGTGAATGAACATGCATTCAAAATTCAGGTAACAATGCAATTCATTTTCACTTGTGACTCCAGTAGAAGCCAGCTCCCCCTGCCTGTTCACTTCTCCAGGTGAACAGGCCTCGGCAGTGCTGCTAACAGCATGGTATGGCCCAGTGGCTTCACCCATGGCCCCAAGTACTGACATCTGTCCAGGGACGAGAAGGCAGCCAAGGGTGGGAGCCAGGGCACAAAACCCAAAAGGCCAGTGAGGTCCCTTAACCAGCCACTGACCCAATGGTAGAAGCACCAATACACCAAGCCCAGGGGCTTGCCTGGACAGTGGCCCCAGGGGCCTGAAGCATGGCAGAGACTCAAACACCCTGGGTTTGGATCGGAGAAACAACAGCTTCTTCCCTCTTCTAGCCGCCCCAGAGACACTCCCCCCGCACCCACTGAAGTCTCTTCATCCATTTAAACCCTAGTCTGCAGCCTTCGGGAAACCCAAGGAGAGGCTCATGGCAGGATGGGCTCCGTGTCTGCCCTGCTCCGGCTGCTGATGTATAACACTCCAGTGTCACATGTGCAGTGCCTGGGCAGCATCCTCGCTGGAGTGTGACCCTGGCTGGCACAAGCTGCTCTGCCAAGGCCGCGGCTCACCCCTGCCTCACACCTTCGCCTCTAACATGGCGTCCATCAGCCGGGCGCTGCTTGTGATGGCTGTCGTCAGGAATATAAACTTGTATCCTGAGAAATCCAAAGAGGTGAAAGGAAAATGGGTGAGACCAAAGGGCAGAGAGAAGTGGGGCTGCCAGGCTGCAGCTGAACCCCTGCTAGCGCCTGGCACTGCCACCAAGCCAACAGCAGAAGCATCACTATGCCAAGTACTGGGGGAGATGTTCAGAGTGCTGCTGTGAACAGACTGGGGGGAAGTGGGTGTTGACTCCTCCAGGCAGGGAGAAGCTGGGGGAGCCCAGAGCAGGCATCTGGCCAGGCCAAAGGCATGTGATGGGTGCCTCCCTAAAGCACCGTAAGGGAGGCCCGTACACCTCGGCACATGGACCCATGGCAGGAAGACTGGGGGGGATGGTCCAAGGCTTTAACCTCCCCCTTTACTATGTGTCAGCCTGGCAATTAGCCTCTGTGGCTGCAGCAGGTCCAGTTTCAGTAGCCAATGGCACAGGCAGGGCTAACTCACTGAGTCTGTGCCATGGGGTTATACTGTGGGTCTCTTTCCGAGAGGGAGGGGGGCAGTTTCTGGCTGTTAGATCCTTCCTCCCCAGCAGTGGAGGAGACAGTAACCCAGTGCTCTGGATGGTACCTTTCTCCTTCCCCAGGAATCGGAGAGCAGAGATCTCAGAAAAGGTGCAGCCTCCCAGGAAGACTGCTAGGATGACACGCTGCGCCTCCCAGGCGGGATTCTCCTCCATGACCGGCTCTGGAAGGAGCAGAGGATGAAGTGGAGCGGCTCCCCGAGCCCCCCCCCCAGCGATCCCAGGAGCAGGTATTACCTGTGGGAGCAAACTCATTGCCGTTCAGCAGGCGCACCACCTCCTCCAGGCCCAGCCAGCCCTTGCGCTCCAGCACCTGAAAGGAGACGGGCAGGGGAGTCCGTCAAGAGCAGGGGAAGCAGAAGAGCACCATAGGCCCAAAGCAGAGCAAGAGATCAGCTGCTAGCCCAGGGCACTGGGGCGGAATAAAGGTCAGACGAGCAGGCAGGTGCCTCACCTCTCCAGGAGCAGGTTAGACATTTCTAGCCCATCCAGCCCCAGCCAGGGGCCATAGTCCCAATCAGAGGCACCTGTGGCCTATGCAGCAGGGGGGATCTGCTGGGCAGCATAGCAGGACCCACGAGGGCACCACGGAGCAGGAGGCACTTGCACAAACCTGACTGCTCCCAAGGAAGACGGAAGCCCATGTGCCAAGGGACAGGAGTTCCCTGCACCACACAGCATGGGCAGCTCTTGCCCCCCGGGGTGGGGCGCCCACAGATAGACTCACCTGTTCAATGATCTTGCAGCTCAGGGGGATGTAGGCCCCACTGAAGACATAGGCCATGTCTCGGGGCACCTTCAGGTTGTATTCACCATCAACCCGGGGGATCTGCAGAGACAGGCACATTACACCCCCCAGCAGTGAGTGAGCTATCGGTGCCCTCTGGGAGCAGAGGCTCTGGGTTTGAAGCACCCATGGGTGCAACCTCTGGGGTGCACAAATACATGAGACGCTGACCTGGCTGCTCTGGGCAGGACACAGAGTCCCCGGCCAGCTAGTGAAGATCCAGTGCCAAGCAGGCGAGCTTTGCACTGCTGTGAATGCAGCAAACTTGGGCCCTGGCAGCCAGCCGGAAGGTGCAAGTTCCATGGCCAGGGACACGCCTCTCTGCTGCTCTCAGAGCACCAGCCCCTAACCACACAGGGCCTTTCCAGACTACAGATTCTCTCCCGACGCCCATGGGAAGCCAGGCCAGCTCCTGGAGTGCAAGCGCAGTGTGTTCACACTGACCCACTCTGCTATACAGGGGCCTTTGCATTCTGCCAAGCTGCATCTTCCGGGGACGCGGCCCCAAACACTGCACAGGGCATCATGCTGCCTGGATGGGGGGGGCCAGGTCCACGGCAGAGAGGAAAGGCCACAGCCTCCCTTAACCCTGGAAGGGAGAAAGGGACCCAGCCACCATTGCTACCTGGATCCCCAAGGGTAACTCTCTGGCTCGCCTGCTGCCCTGCACAGGGATGGCCACAGCCAGGGCCGGAAGAGGGCAGCCAAGGACATTGAGAGCCAGCGATGTTACACACCCCACCGAACCCCATCCTAGCAACAGTGCTGTGGGAGGGGCAGCCCAGCCAG